GGGTGGAGTTCTGGGCGCGCCGGCAGCGCGAGGCTAGTTTTGCGGGCGGGTCCGGGGAGCCAAGCAGCCTGCACAAATGCGGTGGGTGCGACACCTGCCCTCGCTCCATTGCACCTTCCCCACCAAGTCGCCTCCTGGGCGGCTCCCAGGCGCACGCTCACCTCACGGCCTTGCTCTGCCCTCTCGCGTGGGTCCGGGCTGGCGCGGACCCCACCCAAGGGGAGGGCTTCTCTGCTTGCCACCTTCTTGGTGTCCTTTGAGCTTCTCCAGCAAAATTGGGGGCGCACCATATGTTTTTTAAAAGTATTTTTATTGATTTCAGAGGGGAAGGGAGAGGGAGAGAGAGGTAGAAAGATCAATGATGAGAATCCTTGATCAGCTGCCTCCTGCACGCCCCGCACTGGGGATGGAGCCCACAACCCGGGCATGTGCCCTGATTGGGAATTCAACCCTGACCTCCTGGTTCATAGGTGGATGCTCAACCACTGAGCCACGCCTGCCAGGCCATATTTTTAAACATTTAGTAACTGTACCTTTTCCAGTCAGAAAGTGGGTTAAATATTTAAGATATGACCGGCAGTGGGTGTTCACTGCACCTCTTCATGACGTTTAACACCAAGTTCTTACTCCCCTACTCTGCAGGGCAATGAAATGGGGGTGGTAAGAGGCATTACAGAGCATCTTCCATCTAAAACAAACCTTGCAACTCACTCCTGCATATCTCAACTTTTAAATTATGTTTTGTAGTTAGTGATTGGAAGAATCTTTCATTTTCCTTGGACAAAGAGCTTTTCCATCTCCTATTGCTTTTGGTTGGTTGCCCAAAGAGACTGACCTTAGCAGTGTAAAACTGAAGTTTCATTCCAATTTTTGTCATTAAATATAATAAAACTAGAGGCCCAGTGCACGGATTTGTGCACCAGTGGGGTGCCTTGGCCTGGCCTGTGCCTTCTCACAATCTGGGACCCCTTGGGGGATGTTGAACGCCAGTTTCGGCCCAATCCCCGCAGGCCAGGCAGAGGGCCCCCCACTCGTGCACGAATCTGTGCACCAGGCCTCTAGTATGCAGCATATAAGATCTTTGGTTAATCTCTTCCCGCCCTACCCCCTGAGATTCATCAGTCTGTCCCATGTTTCCATGCCTGTGCACTGAGCATCTGCCCTCTTGTGGTCAGTGCACATCATAGCTACCAGTTGAACAGTCGCTTAGGCTTTTATATATAGATATTTAATATATCCTCAAAGGTATACAGTATTTCACATTTGCTAGAATGCAACCTCCACTGTTCTCTAAGTTATCCCTAGTGTCTAAAGCAATGCATTGTACATAGTAGGCATTCAATAAAAATGGTTCCTATTCCTGGTGTGAATTAACATGAGCACCAATCACTCACAAGTTTAAGAAAAAACAGCACAATAATACAGTTGAAACCACTTATACACCTATCATGGTGCAAGACTTTCCTAAAGAGCTACCTACACTCCTGAGTTATTCTTGAGCATTTCTTTCTATTTCTACTATGTATATATACGCCCTTAAATAATCCATATCTTTTTGCAAGCTTTAACATTATATCATTGACATCACTGCATATATTCTTCAACTTCTTTGTCTGCTCAACTCTATTTGTAAGCTTCATCCACATTGACACTTGCAATTTATCTAATTATTTTTCATTTCTGTATGGCATTTCATAGTATGAAAATAATATACTTTTCCAATGGCTTGCCATTATAGTATTATGAACATTCTTGTATACAACTCCTAGGGTACACGTGTTTTCCTGGGGTATATACCTACGAGTGGAATTGCTGCCTCATAGGATTTCCGCATTTTCCAGACTAAATACCAAATTATCTACAAAGTATTTAATCCAGTTTATACTCCCATCAGTGGGGCATTTGGATTCCAATTGTTCCATATCACCATTGACAGGTTTTCTAGTAGATGTGAAAAGGTTTTGACTTGCAGGCCTCTTTTACTATGTTTCCATTTTGTTGATCATTCCGGTTTCTTAGTCTGTGGATTATTTATTTACCATTTTCCCTTTTTTAAAATTATGCAATTCTTTTATAAAATTCACGAATTGTATAATTCTTTAAAATATTCTGACTGATCCTCAGTCCATTATGTGCAGTTATAAATATGTATATACACCTATGTAAGCTTTTTCTGAACTATGATAATTAGTTTCAGATATTTCATCATGATTCTAATATTCTCCTACACTATCACTCACAAAATTTAAGCTTTACATCATACTTATTAACTAATATTACTGTAGCCCACAATGTATGTAATTATTTGCATCTCTTAAATATACAACCCAATGAAGACTCACAGTACAGTTAGCTCTCATTTCTCTATTTTCCTTTAGTTTAGAATAATTCCTCCATTTTGTTTGTCTTTTGTAATATTGACATTTTTAAAAAGGTAAAGTTGCTTTGTAGAATATTTTCTCCTCAACTTGATTTAGCTGATAATTTTCTCATCAAATGTCTGATTGGTCAGACATTCTGGCAGGACTAGTATAACATGGATGATGTGTATTTCTCATGAGGAAGCTTTAGATGTCAGTTTGTCCCATTGTTGGTTTCCAAATAAATATTAGAATTAACTTGCAAAGTTATACAAAAAAACCCTGCCAAGATTTTGATTGGAATTTATTTCTATTTAGAGGTTAATTACATCTCTTTATTCCTAGATACCTTATATTTTCTGTGCCATCTAAGTCTTTTTCATTTAAAGATTTGTTTTTATGATATATGGTACCTTTTTAAAATGTACATTTTCTAGCTATTCATTGCTAGGGATTCTTTATTACTGATATTACTTCCAGCATTTCTTTTTTGTAAACTAAGTTTGTTTTATTCACATTGCTCAAAAGTTAAGATACATGACATACAGTGAAAGTCTTTTTCTAACTCCTGATCATAGCCATCCATTTCTTTCCCAGGGGCACCCAATATAACCAATTTCTTACATATTTTCCCCAGACTATTTTACACCAATACAAGTGATTGTGTGCAGATATTGATATACATGGCATGTTACCATTAAATAAATGGTGGGGCTACTAACAGAAATAAAAGTCAGAGGGAGGGTTTATTTGGTTTTATAACCTGATGTTTGTAATGACTATAAATTTCCCAAACACTCTGAAAAAAGCAAATTATTTAAAAGAAAATTCCAAACTACATGGTAGTTATTTCCCTTCATTATATTTTGCCACAAAAATTCCATGTGCTTAGAAAAATAAAATCATGTTCTTTAAAATCAGCTGTCCTTCCTTGTGAAGCTCTTCACTCTTCTTTCAGGGCGTACAGCACATCACCCTGGCTGACGTTGAGCCGCACGCGAAGGAGCAGGTCATTCCTGCTGGGTTCCACAAGGAGGAGGCGGCAGGAGCCCAGGTGAGAGCATACTGCCATGGTCTCTGACATGGTGGGGTATGGGAGCCCCTCCATCCTGCACAGTTCCACGTGCTGCCTGTATACCTAGAAACAAAAAGCAAATCTGAGGTCAGCTGCCGGGAAGGTTAAGAGAGGAAAGGTCGTCCTGGGTCTGTATCTGATCATGTATTTCTTCTTTTAGAGAAAGCAGATACTTCTTGACCAGGATATTTAATGCCTCGGAAGGCATCAAAGGCTGTCCCAGTGGGGGCACAAATGAAGGGCAGAATGCAGTACTATCTTCAGAATCTGAGGATAGCAGGTCTGAATCCTGGTTCTAGCAAATACCTAAATATGACACCCTGGGCAGGTTATCTCGCTTTTTGAGCTTCAGTTTTATCTATTAAATGTATTATAATATCTCTTGAATTAATGGATATAAAATGTCTAGTACTGAAATTGTTACACCAAGAGTTCTGGTATCCAGGGGCTGAGAATTCCATAATGGAGATTGTCATAATTCAAGTCAAATTTTGCTATAAGGTATTTTCCTAAGCAGACACAGTGTACAGGTACCAAGGCATGACCCTTGGAAAAGCACAGAGGCACAGAGACAATACTGAATAAAGAGGCAAAAGGTAGCTGGAAACAGATTCCGACCCTAAAGCCCCAAGTGAGTCAGGCAAGTCTGTAGTAATTTCTGGGCAGTCTTCTAACTATAAGTCCAACCCTCATTCCCACCCCCACTCCCACCCCCTACCCCCCATCAATACTGGGAGCTTGTCAGAAGCAGGGATATTAACCAATTCAGATGGGGGTTCCTGGTTCACAGCACAGTTAATGGCACATTGCAGATGTTCAGAAAATGTTTACATACTAAAATGAAAGTCACTGCAGAAGAGCTGTTTCAGGCTCTAGAAGGAGAATAATGGGCAAAATATGACCAGTAACTAAATGTTTAAAAAGGAATGTAAAGAAGTAAAGGAAAGCTGAAAGGAAGAAGTAGCTGGAAGGAAAATGTTTTTCTGAATGTCTAAAACATGCTTATACACAGAGGTACACACTCCCAGGTACACACACACACACACACACACACACACCTTTGATAGTTCACCTTCTAAGGGAGCCATTGCCTGTGGACACTGGTTTTAAATAAACCACTAAGGCATGAGACCTCAGGCTTCCTTTTACTGATATTGAAATGATGCTCAAAGACGGTTTGGATTGACCTTTGTGATTTTAAACATGGCTCATTCTGAAAGCGTCGCCCCCATTACACCACATAAGCTGTATTAGGGCAGTGACTTTTGATTGTTCATCTTTGAACCTCCCATCCTAGAACAGTATCTGGCACATAGTAAACCTTTAATCTAATATGTAGAAGCCAGTTGCTAAAGTTCTCCTCATGCAACTAAATAAAAATATCACATAAAAATAGGTGCTGGTTTGATATTCCTTAGCATTACCAGGTTACCACAAAATAGACAAACTATCACACAGTGATTGAAATTCCCACATATTTTAACAGCACCAGACCAAAATCTAGATGGATTTTCAAAAAGGAGATTGACCACCTGTTGAAATGTTGCTTCCTCCAGTCCCGATCGACGGAATTCTGCAAGGATCGCTCTCAGGAAGCTCTGTTCCATAACAGAGGAATTTCTTAAAGAAAATGAAGACATGTGAATTCTCAGTGTGGCTGCACCAACACCAAGAGGATAGCTGGATAAAGCTTTTCTGCATTATTAGAAAAAAATGGGGACTACTTCCTCCTATATTATTTGGGAAGGGGTCAGCCTACCCTCCCAGAGTCTTAAAATGATATAATAAATGCCACTTTGGAAGTAAGGAAACCCAGCAACTACATCTGGAAGGGTACCAGCACCCCGTGTCTATGCCCTTAAGAAAAAAGACAGCGTCTTCAGTAAATCAGAAAAACAGGCTTCCACAGCCTTCCCACCGTGGCCTTCAGGCGGTCTTTCAAAGAAGGCTCAAGGGCAGGAAGCAGAAGCATCTTACTTGATGGCAGTGATGTACGCTGATGAAAACATCTCATCCACAGCTTTCAGCAAGTGGGCCACCGTGACCTGGCCAGGGGAGCCGGGCTTCTGGCAGGACTCACAGATCTCGGTGGCACGCCTGCAGATGTCCAGGCAGCGTCGTGCATCTCCAGAGAGGGCTGCTACCTACAAGAGGGATCATTTTATTCCTTGAGTCCCCTTGCCATGTCAACCAACAGATTTTGTGTTCAGCTAAATAAAAAAAAGGCGTTGCTGAGAATGGACTTAAGCTTGAAGTTAAGTACTTAGTCCTAGTTGGGAACCTGGAGGAAGCCCAGATATAAATGATCACATTGTTAACGTGTTGGTTAGCAATGGGGATACGCTCTTGAGAAATGCTTCATGAGGCATTTCATTGCTGTGCAAACATCCAAATGCATTTACACAAACCTACATGGTGTAGCCTTTTTATAAGTAGAAAGAATACACCTAAAATAATGATGACTAGTATAGTAACAGTCTCTTATTATCAAGTATTGTGTATGTACATAATTGTATGTGCTGTACGTTTATACAGCTGACAGCAGGTTTGTTTACAACAGTATCAGCACAAACACCCGAGCAATGTGTTATGCTACGACATTACAATGGCTATGACATCACAAGGCTATAGGGATTTTTCAGCTCCATGGGTCCACCGTTGTATATGCGGTCCTTCATTGGCCAAAATGTCATCATGCAGCACATAACTTTTACTGTGCCTGGGACTCTTCCCTGAGTCCAAACCTTTGTCTTGGTTTTACAGATAACTCCAAAGTAGGAAAGGCAGAAATCCATAGCTTTATTTAATATTAGGGAAATGAAATCTATAAGAGACCGGTGCCCCACAATCACACTGACACATCTGAAAACACAAGGGTTCTCATTTCTTGCCTAGAGAGAAATATGCCCCCAGAAGCAGCCAGCCAAGGGGAAGAGG